ATAAATCGTTTTTTTTTTTTAATTCTAAAACCACTTTTTAAATTTTTTTTACTTTTTTCGTCATTCTAAATTTCTTTTTCTTTTTTTCTTCTTAAACCTCCAGTTTCTTGTATTCGAAACCAACCGCCGTTTTCTTTCTGCCTTTTCAATTTTCTCTTATCCTGTATTCCATTTTCTTTCATTTTGCTTTACTTATCTATTTAGTTTCTGTATTCTAAGCCCCCTGTTTCTTTTCCCCTTTTCCATTTTATCTTATTCTAAATTTTCATTAATTCTTGCATTCTATTATTTCCCCCTTTTCTATTTTGTCCTATTCTAATTTCCCATTTTCTCTCATTTTGCTTCCGTTTTCTTGTATTCATAACTCCCATTTTCTGTTCGTCTCCCTTTTCCATTTTCTCTAATTCAGCTTTTAATTTTCTTGCATTCTAAACCTCCGTTTTCTTTCCCTCTTTTCTATTTTCTCTTATTCTAAATTCCATTCTCTCTAATTTTGCTCCTCGTTTTCTTTCCTCCTTTTCTATTTTGTCTTATTCTAAATTTCATTTTCTCGTATTCTGCTTTCCATTTTCTTGTCTTCTAGAATCTCGTTTTCTTTCTCTCTTTTCTATTTTCTCTTATTCTAAATTCCATCCTCTCTAATCTTGCTTCCCATTTCCTTTCCTCTTTTTCCATTTTCTCTTATTCTAAGGCCCATTCTTTCTTCTTTTGCTTTTCATTTTCTTTCCTCATTTTCCATTTTCTCCCATTCTAAAGTCCATTTTCTCTTCTTTCGCTTCTCATTTTCTTTCCTCCTTTTCCATTTTCTCAAACCCCGCTTCCCATTTTCTTTCCTCCTTTTCCATTTTCTCTAACCCCGCTTCCCGTTTTCTTGCATTCCAAACCCTCCCCCGTTTTCTTTCCCCCCCTTTTCCCCTCCGTCATTCCCGGCCAAGTGCAAATCACCATACTATATACAAGTTCCTGGTGCGCTCATGACGTGGATGATTTAGCAGACCGTAAGAATGCATTTTTACGAGCCCCAAAACTCGTAACCTCGAAGAAAATATTGACATTTGAATTTCTGATGGCATAAAATCACCCCATAATGAGGTGACATGGGAGAAGAGGGGCTGCGTAAAATGTTGCATCACACACGAAGGGGAAAAAAATGAGAGAGAGAGAGACACGTAATTCTGAAGAAAATTGATATATTCGGTGATGTGTTTACATTTGGTTATTCATGGTATATTTTGCTTTCTCTCTAGTTCAGTCTGTTAACGTTGTGTGTGAGCTTAGGGAGTGTTTTGAGTGTTTATTTACGGTCGTCTAAATATCTTAATCTTTATTAATCTTTCTATCTAACTATCCAGTTATCAATTACTCCTTTATTTTTCGTCATTTGTTTTGCCTTTGAGCAGCTACCCAATTCGCCACCTATCTATCTATCTATCTATCTATATACCTACCTACCTACGTAATTATCTAGCTATGTA